TAGAATGTACTTTTATTCAAATAAAACCTTTCTGATTGAATCAAACTGTGAATCCGTGAGTAAGAATCTTAACAAAACTAAGCACGTCTCGGTTTACAAAGATCTACGATCAAGATTTCAAGAAACCATGTGAACGAACGGGTGTACAGAGTAATCAGTGAAAGAGAAACCGATGAAACTAAGACAACTATTAGAAAACCGATCAAACTTGTGCACAATACAATCAGGATCATCTAAATTTCCATTGCATTCGACAACACTGGAATTCCCATCTATCAAGTACATTAACGAATCAGTGTCAAATTCATCTGTGTTATCATTTTGAGGGATAAAGGGGATACGAGATTTTTTACTATCTTCAGGTAGAAAAGCGATGCTTGGCAAGGCGGCAATAGTATGATTTTCAACAAAGGTTGTCTCTAAAGATGACAAAGCGCTTGGAACAGCGAGAAGAGACATGATGGAGACGGTGTAGACTGCAGTCATTAACCCAATGAATGAGATGATCGCTTGAAGCAATGGTATTAATGGAAATGATGAACTGAGCTGGAGGAGTTCGTTGTAGGTGCAGAAACCATTTTTTGCGACGAAGTCATTGGCAACCCAGCTTTCGAAAAAAGACAGCCATCGTTCAAATTCAGCTTCGTCAACCATAACGTTCCAATTCTGGAATTGATAAAACGGATTAAAGGAGATAAACTTTGATCACCCATTAGAAAGGGAAATAAGTTTAACCGAAATATTTTCAAAAAACCTACAACATCATGCTTAGAATTAAGTATAAATTCTTCTCATTAAAACGCTTGAATGGATGAATCTAGTTCGTACAAAACTTAAAAAACGCCTAAGCTGGTGCTACGTAAGATTGCAAAGAGAAATTGAACAGAGATGATCTACAACATCGAGCCACCTAGTCTGGTCTGACATGGTTCTACTTTCAGAAGATAAAAAAAAAAAACAGAGATTCACAGTTTTCGATAAAGTAAAAAAATGAACTATTGAAAGGGACTGGGAACTTCCACACTGTAAGACGGTTAGGAATTCAATACCGGATCTAATATCTTCCAAACGTCACCAAATTTTCTCAAAAAAAGTTCTGCGCCAATACGTTTCAATTTGGCACTTTAGCTGACAATTTCGCGATACCCTAGCTCGAGCTGAAGGGTAGAGAAATTGGATACAACGAGATAAAGCAACAAAAACAGAATAGGAAATTCTGCTTACCATTTTCTGAACGAACTCCCACTCAAGCTGGTTTAAGTGCTGGTTCGAGATGTTTGCAGCTTCCGCCCAATCAGAATTTGATGCCCTGTCGTACGTATCGGAGTCATGGAGAAACTTCGAAGCCAAAACAAGTGCAGGTAGATAAAGGTCTGTGGGATCGGAAGATTCGAACCAAACCTTCAAAAAATAGATTGTCGTTCCAA